GCAGGGGTCTGGACGCCAGGGGCAGTGCCGGTGCATCCTGATTAACGGTTTGCGTCCTGTGCGTCCTGTGCGTCAGACGCACAGGACGTACAGGACGCGAGTTGAAATTTTTCTTGATGTAGACCCAAAGACCTTAAACATCATCTATCGGTGTCGCGTTCGTGTCTGACTAGGCAGCCTCTGAGGGGAACAAGAGAATGGAGAGATCGACCGTAGCCTGTTGGCTGTTCTCCCCTACTGCAACTGTAGTCCCAGCTGTCTGACGATGGTGGTTAAGGGGTTGCCGACCGTGAGGAGGCTAAGCGAGGCCAACTCAAGAGGGGGAGAGGACTCCCCACCACACGTGGGGGGAGGAGGAAGGAGGAGTAAGAAAGATCATCAACGGCTGCCTGGGCAAAGCATAGCAGGTGTTTTACCGTGTCTCTCATCTAGTCCCTTGTTCTGGGAGAGATAGCATCACTGTAGTGGAAGGGATCCCACCACCTGCTAGCCAGCTGAGGAGGGCCTCCGACCGACCAACCCTCAGGGAGAGAGAGGGCCCTGCGACGGTAGACCAAAGTCAATACCCCGGGCGTGAGAGGAGAAAAGAGCCAGACTCCCCTAGGCCAAGGCCAAAGGCAGGAGTGGGCAGGAGGGTGGAGAAAGTTTCACGACTAAACAAAAAACTTATGATAAAAACCGTGGTATTGAGTTTTCAATCACCGGAGGTGTAGCGGAAACGGAGGATGGCTTAAAAGCTAGGGAGGTACCTCAATATTTCTAGTCCGCGTCTGGGTAGTCGCAGCCTATATCTAATCCCTTACTGACTATGTACCTGCCATACTAACAATTCAGTGTCTTTAGAGTAGGAACTCCGTTTGACCCTGAAAACTAACTTCCTCACTCTCTTCCTGAGCGGAGTGATCAGCTCCGTCAAAGGACTTATCAATGACTCTTCTATGTACATAGCTTAGAGTGCATGATAAAGATAACTAACTCATCTAGTGAGTTGTTATTTAACCAATCGTGAACTAGTCTTCCAGATGGCTTAGTTTATGCGAGCTGGGTGTAACGGGGGCTCCCTCTGGTAGATGGTTCCTAAGGATACGACTGCACCAAACTTTGAATCTCTCAAACACAGCTCTTGCAAAAGTGTAAAGAATAAAAGTAAATGGTAAAACTTAATATCGTTACGCTCAGGCTTATCTCAATTAAAGTCTCGCGAGAGGATGTTGATTGTGTCGAGGTAGGAGAGTTCTCGTATAATCCTTAAGTAGTTAGACTTATACCAAAAACTTCCCCATCAGGTTACTCCGACCAACATGAGTATGCCCTTATCCATAAGGGTTGCCCTGGCACCATTACCATGTCCCCGAAGGGCCTAAGGTGTCAGTGCACTCTAGCAGAATTCTCCTATATGCACATCAGTTCCTGCGAGGTGTTTACCAATACACCTGCTGGAGTGAAAACCTCTGTGCATCGGTGTCTCGTCAGTGGCTAACTGTCGAGACGCCTAGGAAAGCTAACTAAATGACTCTCTTCCCATTGTGCTATGACCTATACAAGCACTCGTAGATCTCAGCTGCCTCCCGGCTCAGTTCTATCTTTCTTGTGTGTGAACTTAGAGGGTCTATGGCGCTCCCGCAGAGAACTGCAGCGGCGGCGGGACCCATGGGCGCTACCCATGATCCCTTACCCCCGACACACCACTCACCGTGATAAGTATCATGCTATTAGAGTCCTCAAACAACCCATAATGAGCCTATGGCAAAGGGGCACGTGTAGGCTTGATTGGCGTAAAACCTTCCCAGATCTCTCTGGTACTACCCGGGACTACTCTGGGGACCCTTCCGGATAGCTCATGCTAACTCCGTCAGTTTTGGTCTGTTTTACTCCATTCTTTTTGGAGAAGGTACCTGACCTTCGCACCTTGGCCCCCTTATATATCCTGCGAACCCTGGGGCCGCAGGTACCTGTTAGGAATAATTCTACCAAGTTACAGCTTGTTCGGAGCACTATAGCTCCTCCCGTAGCCTTCCGATCAAAGTGCAAACAAGTGCCCGTCAATCGTCATTGCGTAACAAACAATCCTAACATTTCCCGGACTTCCTCCAAGAACATTTCCGATGGAAGGTAGGGTAATAGTGTCCCAAAGGTAGGGTAAGTATGTCTATGGTGACACGAAACTGGTCTCCATAGTAGGGTAACGTGACTTCCTTAGACAGGGCAAACTCACCCGGCCTTCTGACCTATCCTTAGGCCAGAGTGGACATTGTTACGTTACTACCACTACTTAGGTACACCAATTCCTTAAGTACCTTCTGTTCTTAGGGATATCCTGACCATCAGATATCCCTCGGATATGCGTCAGCATACCCGCCTAGTCTACCTTCGGACCTCTTGGTCTTATGTATGGGTATAGACTTAGGTTACTATAGCTCTATAACGTAGGGTCATTACACTGGGGGTGGTGCGGCTACCTCTCGGGAATAGCAGCACCAATACTTCCGGAGGTTATAGTTCAATAACTAACCGACCAATCCGATTCAACCAAGTCTTATCTTGTAGAACGGAGTTCCTTCTATGTTATCCAGTGGAAACTCCACGGTCGCATGCCTCATATCTCTGCGGAGCAGGCTGCATAGATGCCTTATCGTTTCATGCTATAATAAGATATCATCACGATAACTACGGCGGGGCTCGGAGTCGAACACATGACCTTATGCATTTAGTCACGTGTTGTACCGATTACGCTTCTATGTGTGACAAAAATCCACTTTCATAACAGACTGTCACTCTACAAATATTGGTACCAGGTAGACCTTTTGGGTACTATTAGAAAGCTGACGTCAAGTGGAATCAGGCCACTGAGTATGGAACACTGTGCCAGAAGGAGACCCAAGCAATCTGGTATTAAAGTCAGCACTCTGCCAGAACTCTGCCAGGATAAAAACTACTTTCATAACAGACTGTAACTCTACTAATATTGGTGCTGGGTAGACATTCAAAGTACCATTGGAAAGCTGACATCGAGTAGAATCACGCTACCGAGTATGAGATGCCATACCCTTAAGACACATGGGGAATCTGTACTTAACTAGAATCTCACTAACTTGACAAAGTAGCTAAAGTAAACAATAAAGTCCAGAATGCAGGGACAGTAGTAGGAGGAGCCAGTAAGGGGAGAGGTAGTAGGGGGAGCTTGTAAGGGGTGAGGTAGTATACAGGATACTGGTAGGGGGAGAACTGGAATGAGGTGGGCTAGTAGGAGGGGAGCCGGTAGGGGGGGTAGTAAAGGGAGAGCGGCTGGCAACTGTGTTTATTACTCAGAATCTCAGGATAGTAACTGGGCAGCCTGGCTTACTTTGGATGCAATCTGGACATGACACTTCCTAGGATAAGCACTAGGATGCACAGAATGCAACTAGACTTGGTGCACAAGTACCAGACATACTGTAAGCAGCTGGCGGTTGTAACAAAAGACTGGATGCATAGGATGCAGGAGATGCAGGGGAAAAACACTGTTCATCTGGACATGGTACCCATGTGTCTGATGCAGGATTTATTTTTGCTGATGTAATTTCAGTTCTGAAATAGGTTTATAACATTCTTAGTAATCTACTCTTTTAATACAACAATTATACAATTTATACTACATAGCTGATATAGGACTCGGAGTAGTTTGATGAAAATAGAATTGAGTTAGCTGAATATCTATTCTATTTATCAGACCTTAATCCTATTAAGCATAATTGAATTGAGCTGAAAAAAAAAACTTTAGGACCAGTCTTCCAATATTACCCTAATACCTAGGTCCCCAGAAGATCAAGGAGAAGCTAATTGAGGTATGGTACAATGCAGCTAAAACATGTACCTGGCTCCATGCAACACATAACACTTAACCCTCTAAGAAGGTTGCCCTATAAACTAAAAAAAGTACAAGATTTTCCACAGCCCTATACTTAATTTACAGATAACTTATATCATTAAAATATTAATATATGTAACCTTGAATGTACTATCATAGTAAAACAACCAGATAGAGAGCTTTGTGGTCCACTTCTGTCCTACCTGAATCCAGTTTATTACATTTCATCTGTCTGGTTTCAATGTGAAATAACTTATCCTCTACCTCCAATTCTAATAGCTAGAACAGGCAACCAGCAACCAATCCTATCAGAGTATGGAGCTAGCAGATACTTCACTAGCAGGTACTATACCAGTTACTCAATCGAAGCTCTGCAGCTGTACTTGATGTGGAAGAACTTGATAGGTAATTAATAAACATATCAAGAGACACATGAAGTATAGTTACAGTATTATGGTATTAATACCATCTGGTGAATTGAACTGAGAACTATTGGAACTTTAATATTTTTTTAGTTTATAGGGCAACCTTCTTATAGGGTTAAGCATTACGTGTTACATGGAGCCAGGTACATGTTTTAGCCGCATTGCACCATATTACTCTTAGTTTGAGATACAATTCCTGCAGAACTTTTTGCACAGTTGTAGAAGTCAGTACCAGAGAGGGTTCAGGCAGTTATTAAGGCAAAAGTGTTGTATGCTAGATATTAAGGACAATTTCTTTTTCTTTTTTTATTATTATATATATAGGGACTGGTCCCGGGATTTATTTTATTTTTTTAACTCTTATTAATTGAGTTTTTAGTTGAGCTTTTTCAATTTTAAATCTATTGTCTGCTATTGCCGTTGTGGTTGAAATCCATAATCACCAAGACTTTTGGGCTGGGACTTTAGGTATCGATCAGCTGGAAGCGAATTTTGCTGTGCCACACCGCCCAAGGAATAGGAAGCATGCTCAGATTAGCGCCCTTAGTGAGGCTCAACTTACCCCACTTGGTCCGTGCGCTCGCTTATCACCTCAAGGTAGGGTAATGTTTGCACCCACAGCCAAATAAAAGACCTGCTACAATCTATTCTGTCCTACAGAGGCTTCCAGCCAAACCTAGGAATTACACCAGGAATTTCTTCCCTTTCAGCTCAATTCCTAACAACCAATGGCCAAACGAAAGGCTGAAGGGGCGACTCCTCCCCAATCGCCTACTAAGAAGGGAAAGTCCTCGGCCGGATCGATACCGACTGATTTCAGGCCTTTTTTCCGAGTGGGACTGTTGGACGAGGCTGTTGAAGGCAAATACCGAAGCGAATATGCTTCTGCAGAACCGTTTGTCATCCTAGAAAATCGGGGTTTTATTTTGCGCTTTGTTCTGTTTGAGGCTGAATGGGAGACGCATAGGTACAAGCATGCCGTGATCCACGGCCTGATCGACGATTCTTTGCTTCGTAAGGTTCGGGAAGAGGTACTCAAAAACGTCGAATTCACGCCAAAGGAGACCGACATCTATCGTATTCATCAATCTGGTGATCTAGCTAACCTCGACGGCCTTCCTAAATCTGCTCTTAAACTTCTTCCATCTCTCCGCCAGCTCCGCGACTCTCTCTACTCCAAGCTTTTTAGGGACTACATTCGTGGGATCACTGGGTGCGGGCCACTTAGCGGAAGGAAGACCGATATGGCTATCAATGTCTATACACCTGGTTCTCATTTGTTGGCCCATGACGATGTAATTGGGTCTCGCCGTGTGTCATATATCTTATACTTAACCTCACCTGATGATCCATGGCAGCCTTCCTGGGGTGGGGCTTTAAGGTTATATCCGACGAGAGTGGCCGAGGATGGTGTCACGAGGGTTCCGGAGCCGGAATGGGCCAAAGCTATTCCGCCTGCTTGGAATCAATTAAGTTTTTTTGAGGTGCAACCTGGCCTGAGCTTTCACGATGTCGAAGAGGTATACACTCCAAAAGGCGAAGATGAGCGGGTTAGAATGGCTATTAGCGGATGGTTCCATATCCCCCAAGAAGGCGAGGAGGGCTACATTGAAGGTCTTGAGGAAGAACTTGCTGAAAGGAGCTCCTTACAGCAATTGCAAAGCAAGAGTGATATCTTTGATTATCCTAAACCTCTAGAGACCAAGAACGGCCATGGGGAAGATGTGGAGGAACAAGGCGAAGGCGAAGAAGGCAGTGCATCACTGACTGAGAAGGATCTAGACTTCTTGCTCGGCTTTATCGCTCCTACTTACCTTACCCCTGATACCCTGGAAAGTCTGTCTGATGCTTTTGCCGAGGATTCTTCTGTCCAGATCGCGCAGTTCCTTTCTAAATCGTTTGCTAGGAGGCTTAAGGATTTTGTTAAAGCTCGTGATGCTAAGCAATACTCACCAGAAAACTCGGAAGGCTGGAAAATTGCCATACCTCCACACAAGCATCGCTATCTCTACCTTCAAAAACCCCCGGCTAAGAATGGGGTTAATCCTGACGAGCTCAATCCTATAGAGCAATTGCTTACTGTTTTGCTTCCTTCTAGACCTTTTGCTAAGCTGCTACAACTTGCTACAGGTCTCAAAATTACTGCTGGGGGTTTTCTTGCAAGGAGGTTTCGTAGAGGTTTAGATTATACTCTTGCAACCGGTGCAGGTGGAGATGAGGATGACGGCGGCGAGGAGGAAGACGGAGAGGGGGAAGACTCGTCCCCAGGAGCTGGATTGAAAGTCGAAGTCTGTCTTGGAATTACCCCTTCAAAAGGCTGGGGCGGGGAGGATGACGAAGACGAAGATGAGGAAGAGGAGAGGGCGAAGAATGGCAGGTCGAAGGGGAAAGACAAGGTTAAAGTTCCCAGACGTAGCAAATTCGACGACTCGGAAAAGACCGTTGGCGGCTATGAAATGTAACCACTCCCCACTCCTGTTTTACCTTGATCTCTCCCGGATACTGATATTTCCAAACAATAAAACAAGGTACATGGCCGGTGACTCTGACTCTGACTCGGATGAAGAGGACGACCCTGATCAAGCATTCAAAAGCAATGGGAAGAGAAAGAAGGCTGATCCAGCCATCTACCGCTCCAGCCGCGGCAGCGAGGACGACGGTATACTGTTCACTATGCCAGCTAGTTGGAACCGCCTAGGGATCGTTCTCAGAGACACGGGCGTCCTCCGGTTCGTCAAGTATATTAGTAAAAGCGCTGCGGGCGATCGATGGGACGTAATTGGCGAATGGGGAGTGGGCGATGATGGCGAAAATGGTGAAACAGAGCAGTGGCTGGGGATTCAGAATGCAGCGGACGACGGCGATGATGCCGAGGTGGAGGGGGCAGATGAAGAAGCGGGTGGTGGTGGTGGCGAAGGTGAGGGGCAGAATGGAAGTGATAGTGCGAGTGGGAGTGGGGGAGCATGATTCAAGCCGCGAGCGATACAAAAGTTTAGTTTATTTTTCAACTATTAATTGGCCGTGGCGTTGTTGGAGGGTTGAGTATGCGGGCTGATGGGTTTTTCATGTTGATGAGATTGTAGTACTGATCTTTTGGAGGTGTGCTGCGGGACGAAGTAACGTAGTGCGTGAAGGCACGTTCTCTTGGATATCAAACCGAGCAATCAATACAGGGCAGAACTATTATAGCAAATATCACGTACCAAGTATTCATGGGACATCACTCACAAACGTTAATCTGAGCCCGAGCCCGATCAGTAGTAACTGTTATGTAGCATATCGCCAGAGATATCCCTAAAAGCGAATACCATAGCCTGAAATATGATATGATACCTTTTTTTGTTTTGCCATGATAGATCTCAAGTTATGTCATTAACGGATCTGTAAGAGCACTCCCGGGAGACTATGTGAACAGAAAAAGGAGGAATCAGCTGAACCCTAGCTGGCCGATGGAGATTTTAGGCTGCGGACATCTAGATATCCGTGACTTATTATGATACCTACCCTCCATAACATGTGGTGCCCCACTTCCCCCTCCCCCTCCCCCTTCTATAATCGAATGCAGGTTCACCCATTTGGCTTGGGGAACTACATGTAGCGCAAGCCGGTATGGCTTACTTTATCTTCGTTCCTATTGCGTGGGTGCGCACAATATGGTACCCTGTTTTACTTTCCCCCCGATGTCTCCCGCCGATTTGATGGAACATTACGAGCTTGGACTCTGTTTTAACTGTACTACCGGGAGCGGCACCCAAGGACTTAGGGATACTTAGGAGGACGGTCCCATGTGAGTGTTGGAAAGTGCGACTTGTATACCGTGGATCTGGCTGGGTATGATATCGGCCCATAACGCGCAAGAAGTCACTACGAGGGAACACTATCCCACTGTCAGAAGGTTCTTGATAAGTGTATGATGATTCTGCCCCCCCCCCCCAGGTGCTTTAACGCATCTTTCTTTCTATGAGAAATTCACATAGAGGGGGAGAGCATCGTCGTTGCGTATCCCTGGCGGGCGAGATTCTGCCTTCCGCATGGAACTATTCTACGATGAGTCTGGCGTGGCAGGTGCTGTACTGTACTGTGCATTTCTAGAGTGGATTACTATCGGATCGGATCGGGAGAGGGAGGGAACCTTGACGGCATAATTAGCGTTTCCTAAGCTTTTCTGGACCGGGAGAGAGTATGTTAGCGGACGGGACTAGTACTTGGCTATAATCTGATGCTGATGGTGATGGTTACGGAAGATGCCAGGTCTCTCTTTTGTGCCCGGTGATCTGGGTGAATATGTGGTATGGAAACTCGAGCTGTCCAATGCTCTTATCTGAGAAAACGCATCTCTGGGGCAAACAGTTCGCAGATAGCTGTCATATCATGGCTCGGGGGATGAGGTCCTATGACAGATACGGGCGTTCCTTACAAAAAGCGAAATGATCTCGTGACCCGGCGGTTTGTATTCAGAGATATATTTCTCGTTATCCTCCTCCCCCCCCCCAATTTACTTTCGCCCCCCCATGTGCCAGCAGGACTACTAGGCAGATATCTCTCGTCTGGGAAGAGTAGGTTGCAAGATTATGATGGGAGCAGAGGATACAGGGAGGATTTTTTTTTTCCCATCGGTATGTAGGGTATTCCATGGTTATTGGAGGGCTATCAGCGTCGCTGGGTAGCGTGAGTTTACCTGTCTGTTCTTGCGTGATATGATATTACGATACCTAATCCCTCAACTATTAATCGTGCACTGCTCACTGCTCACTACTCGGTAAGTCATTGTTGGTATCATATCATGCCTGGGGGATTACCCCTCGCACGGCAATGGTTGCACTGATCAGTTAATCCTGCACTTCCCTTTATCGTCAATAAAATGGCTAATGTCTGTTTCCGTGCAAGCATTGTGGGGCTGGTGGATTCCAATAGTGGGGGGCACGAACTCTCGGATGATAGGAAATACAGCCTCATACCATGAACCCGAATCCGACCATGTATATATCTCATTCACATTGTTGCTGCAGCCAGAAGTTTCTGGCTTAAGATCAAAACCACCTCTACCTTATTTGTAACTGTGGGTTCTGAGAACTTCAGTAACAGGACAACCCATATCACACTGGCTGCCTCCTCATGCCAGATCCAGTAATCTTAAAGCATTTTTTGTACAGATTCTGACCAACCTGATTCTAAAATGATCGACGGAAATGCCCCTGTATGCCATTTGACTAAGGTATACTTGCAAAGTCAAGAACTTTTGTGACTGCCGCATTGAGTTCTACAAAGTTCAACTTGGTGTTTCTAATCGCCAAGAGCCTATTAGTGCTATAGAATATCAATAGGAAATAGAATCGTGATACCTGGTGCGCAATAGTCATGGCCTTGGAGATGCCGAGCTCAGAGTATATATGAGTATCTATCCACCGGTGCATCTCGTGCATGAACCAGTTGGCCAGGGCCAGTGATTCATGTATTAACATAGGCATTTTGTCATTAACACTGTTCTGGAGCCATCCCATTAATCTCAGGTGGTCAGAATTCAATCTCACCTTCAAAGGAGCTTGCTAAAACAAGACTGCTTTGTAGTATTAGAAATCTCGAGGTGCTGCTCGGCACACTCTTTCAATAGTTTGTTTGTTCGCATAGTCTCAGGGAGCGCGCTTTGGCTTCGGGCATGTTTTAGCTTTTGGGAAAGCATTTTGGCTGCAGGAATGCACAGAAGTTCTGGATCAATGCCTCCGCTAGAAGGAAAGCCTACGACGAAAACGGGAAAACCGGAAAGTCAGATACTGAGAGTATTGGGTGTCCGGAGGCTATGGACAGTGGGAGTTTGTCTTTCATTTTCTTAGCATGGGAGTCAGAGCAAACAGAAGGGGAAGCATACAAGCAGGGTTTTCAGGTTGGTCCTTTCTCTGCCCTTTTGGTGGGTCCTTTTCAAACGTGCCGGGTGGTTTTTTCGGGTGTTGCAAAAGGAGCAAACCCGTCCCTTTTGCTCGATCCCCCCCGTTGACAAGCGATCCTTTTGCAAGTGCACTCTTTCGAAGAACACGCTTCACCTAAAAAGGATTAGACAACAAAAAAAAAAACACCGGTGTCCGCTGTGATACCGGTAATTATCCTATGCAAGTTTCCCTATCGCTCAATAGTCCTTTCCATGAACAGACTATCGAGAGGACCATCAAAAGGACCAAGAATGGGTTTTGTTGATATATACTCTGTCTTTAGTGTTAGTTAGTTGAGAGAGTGCGTGACGAAGAATAGAACCCCACCTGCCCCTGGGTTGCGCGATCATTCCATGTGTGAGATCTTGGCGCTTCGTTTCGCTGTCGCTGTTTTGCTGGTTACTGTTTCGTTGTTGCTATCCTCTTTGTCGATCAACGTTAAAATGTAGTAATTACTTGAAAGCGGGGCTGATAGGAGCGGAGGTGAGAAATCACAACGTGAACGGAATCAAAGGTGAGGTGAAAGGAGTCGTTCGTGTCTTCCTCAAGAAGCACGGAAAGAAGACTAAATACAAAGAGAGAGAAGGCGGCCATCACACAAAGGGCCGACCTTCCCAGCAACAAACAAACAAACAAAACAGCCACACAACCCAGCAAGGGCTCACATTCTCTGCCCTGACATCCACATACCGGTATCTGCTCCCCATATATCTCACCATTCGCATACCATAAGGGCCAAGTACATGATGTATGCGGGCTTATATAAATATCAAAGCGTAACAGATTTACACAGTATCATACTAACTTATATATCATACTCAAGTATAGCCACAGATTATACATGATAGGATTCACAATTTAACCCTATCACAACCTCTCACTCGACTTGGAATCTTGGATTCATTGGCTCGGTCTTGCCAAGAGAGTTAACTTAAGTGTGGACACCCAAGTGACGACTGTGACCTTGATTTATCATATCAGTCTAGGGGCGGTTATTTTCTTAAATCATCTCAAAATCTCGCCCTGGCCAACGGAATGATTCCCTCTGCCTTTTCCACAAGCACCGTTCAAAATCTACTCGCTTTAACTAATTAATTCTGGCTCTGGTAGGCATCCATTTACCCATCATTCTCTTATATAAAATCCAGAGTGCGGGTACTGGGGTGATATGAGAGATAACTTATCTAAGCGGCATTCCTATCCGATAGCGCATCCGGATACCGGGTATCTGGTATCATAGTCTGGCCCCCGGTGTTGCCCCACTATCATACCGGCAATCTGTCCACACCCCACACTCCACCCCTCGATTGGAAAAGGGTGGGATCTCGTCTCGTGGGGTATGAGCACGAGGGTCTGCTACGGTAGTTGATTTCGCGAGAACGGTGTTTCACTCAAGACAAAATTGGTGGCCACGGGCGCAAGAATAGGAATACCGGTATATCGATGAAGCAGGCTACATCCAACAGTCCTTCGGGGACTACCACTACCAGTGCATGGGATCGTTCACCAGCAGAGTTTGACTTTAGGAGTATTCCTTCTTTCTCCACCTCGGGTGCTCTCGGAGTCTGACAAGATGGCCCGCTAGGTGACACCTTTACGACACCCACTAGGTCCATGCTTGCCGCCCTCGAATCCATAAACCTGGGGGACGAAGTCTACGGCGAATGCACAACCACCCAGTCTCTCGAATCCCGCATCGCATCCCTCCTAGGCAAGCCCTCGGCGCTCTTTGTCCTCTCCGGGACAATGGCGAACCAACTTGCCCTACGTGCACTACTCGTCCAACCCCCACATAGCATACTCCTAGACTCCCGCTCGCACGTACAACTTCACGAAGCCGGTGGCGTCGCTAGCCTCTCGCAGGCAGTCACCGTGCCCGTGGTCCCGTCGAACGGAAAGTACCTCACATTGGAGGACGTGCATCGGCATGTGATTCTGGGTAGCGACATACATTTCGCTCCGACACGCGTGATCTCGTTGGAGAACACCATCGGCGGCGTGATCATGCCAGCGGAGGAGGTTCGCAGGATCGGGGAGTGGGCGAGGGGCGAGGGCATCAAGGTGCACCTTGACGGCGCGAGGTTGTGGGACGCGTGTTCCGTCCCGGAGCCGTCGGCGGAGCTACTGGGTGAATATGCGGGGCATGTCGATTCCGTGTCCGTATGCTTTTCCAAGTCCCTCGGCGCACCGGTTGGGAGTTGCATCGCGGGCGATGAGCGCACGATCGCGAGTGCCAGACACATGCGTAAGGCTATTGGTGGGGGGCTTCGACAGGCTGGGATACTCACTGCCATGGCACGGGTTGGGGTGGAGGAGGTGTTTTTTGGGGGAAAGTTGGGATGGGCGAATGCATTTGCGAAGGTTCTGGCGGAGAAGTGGACGGCGTTAGGGGGTGGGTTTACGTTACCAGTGGATACGAATATGCTTTGGCTGGATTTGGAGGGGCGGGGGATCGATGATGGGATTTGGGAGGAGGCGATAGAGGAGGGTGGGGTGAGGATTTGGGGGGATAGGATTGTTTGTCATTACCGTGAGTGCTCTCGTGTGAATTGCGAGCAAGAGGCTAATAGAGGCTCATTGTAGAAAACTCACCTGAGGCAGTCGAGAAGGCCAAGAAGGTAATGGAAATTGCGTGCAAAGCTGCCGACGAGAGAAGAGCGAATGGGCTCGAAAAGGGAGACGGAAAAGAAGGGAAGGTCGGAGAGAGCACTTATGGACAGTCTAATTAGCACTCCTTGCTGTATAATATTGCAAAAACAACAGTAGACTTTAGGATACCTTTCCTACCTAATATTACCCTTTGAGAATCGCAGGAAGATTCCATTGATAACTGTAATCTGAAAGCTGGTAAACTACTAACTTCTCAGGATTTAAAAACGACTAACCACTACAGCAAGATGCCACTTTCTATTGCCCTGTTATTCAACAGCCGGGGTTCGTTCCTGGAGAGTGACAAAACGTAGCGAGTAGGAGCAGCACCATACCATACACCTATTTCAGCCAGCGAAACCCAACCACCATCCATCCCATCTGGTAAACTTCCAGCGGACGGTATCTTGGTAGCGAGTGATGTATTATGAGCAAATATCGATCGACCACACCGGACGCCATACCGGTAAGTTACAGTCCAGCGCATACAACAAAACCATCACAGTTCCCGATCCCGCTGGATTACTCCAGCTCGACACCCACCTAACTTACCGGTAACTCCTCTCTCCTCGACTCGGCTTTCTCCTTATCGCACGTCCAACTTTGTATCCATGAATATAGCCATTGTAACTGCGCTTCCAAACAATCCACTGCCCCAAAGCATGACACATATGGCAAATAATTACCCAAAGCCAGACACGCCCCCAATCCGATTGTGCAAGCTACCAATCCCCCCCCCTTTTTTTTACCCTATTATTGGTCATCATCCCCCGGGCGACTGTTTTTTTTGGGGGGGGGGACAGAATGTGAAATATCTAAGAAAAGGAGTGGCCGTTTGAAGAACTCCCAAAGTATCATATACCCGAATTATGATACACGTGTGTCGAGTGCGGTACGGTACTGCACCGATACCACCAAAGACCCCGGATTGGCTCGCGGCGCGCACCCACGCAGATACACTTGAGGTCTTCTTCCTCTCGCGTTGGTTTTCCGCCATGGATTCGTCGAAATCGGGTGAAGATGCTATGTACCAGTACTGTACGAGCATATTGTCCTGACCGCCGTGCATTAGGTTTTACTTTCTCTTTTTCTTTTCTTTCTTTCCCTTTTCCGCCCACTACATAACTTATCTCTTTCCCTCATCGCTATTTCTTACTTGGCGGGCCGTGTATAAGTATACCCTTCACTCTTGATGTATATATATACAAGGCTTGCGGTGGGTATCCGCTTGTGCCTATAGATGGCACAAGTCTCGGTTGAGTTACCGGTATAACTTAGGCTGCTTTTACATACTCGGCCCATCTACGATAATAGCAATCCCAACGCCTATAATTTACCTCACGACCCACAAAAGGAAACGGCGGGCCGGGAACGGGCTCGCAATTCGCAGTGAAGTGCAGTTCTCTAACGGGGTAGATTTTGTACGATACCATTCTCATTGTCTCTGGAAGAGTCATGGGGCAATCCGATTGGCTCGACCACCACCCGCCAGTTTCTTGGCGACAGGAGGGAGGGATGACACATTTAATAATTGCACCGCTTCCTTTCCAAGATATCTGCTAGGATTTGCCTGCGGTGGGTGACTCTGGTTTGTCCGCCCCTCCGTCCCATCCACCTCACCCTCTTCGGATCAATCCAACGTCAAAATTGATACTCGAGATAATTAATTGTCCCTCACCACTGACGAAAATCCGGGCGTTTGTCATGGACACCCCCGGTAGACCCACACTCGCCCAGCATCCGGGAATAGTGTGCGATGGATGCGATAGGAGGCTTCTGGGCCCCCGATATAAATGCGTGCAGTGCGCAGACTACGACCTGGTAACTAACAGAACACTTTTTACCCACCCACCCGAAAACCCTCCCCCCCCCCCAACTATATATATATCATATTATTATCATCATACACATACACCTAAAACTAAGCGCGGAGAATGAAATGGAGGGAGAAAAACTTAGTGCGCAATCTGCGAGAATGAACTCTCTGAGCAAAAATTCCACCCCACCGGTCATATATTCGTCAAGATTAGGAGTTCCTCGGGCCCGGACTTTCCGGAAATGGCCTTCGCGGGGCCGATAATCCCCTCGGCGCATCCACTGCCCCGGGCCGTCGTCGGTCACGGTGTAGACATGGTGGCCGCGGTCAACAGCTTCGGCTTCAACTTGCACAGAGCCCTGGATGGGCAGACCATCTGCCCCGCGAACGTCTTCTCCGCACTGCTTATGGCTGCGAACGGCGCGGGTGGTGGTACCCTAGCCGCGATCCTAAAAGTTCTGAATTTACCGCTGGTCGGTGTTGATGAGCTTCTCGGCCTGAACGCGCAACACGCGCAGCTGGAGTCACACATTTTGGGTGGGGCGGGTGGGGGGGGGATGGATGTCAAGATCGCTAGTTCGATATGGTACCACCGAGGCCTCCAGCCCCTCCCGCGGTTCGTGGAGACTATGAGAGCGTATTTCAGCAGTTCCTCCGGGCCCATCGATGCCGCGGGGATCAACGAGTTCATCCGTGCCAGAACCCTCGGTAGGATCGCCACGAACTACAGCCCCGCATCATTCAAAGACTCCACACTCGTGCTCATCGCCTGCTTCTTCTTCAAAGCCGCTTGGGAAATCCCGTTCGTGAGGGCCGACTCTCAGAGTTCAAGGTTCAGGCACTTCTCGGGAGGGTACGAGTACTACACACGCATGCACCTGACGGCGCACTTTGACTACTTGGAGGGCGAAGCCGTTCAGGTCGTCTTTCTGAATTACAAAGCCCCAACGGAAAATCCGCACTATCAATGGGCCGCGGCGGTACTCCTCCCCAAGTCGCCAACCAGAATCGCCCTGCAAGAGGTCCTGGGGTCCCTCAACCCCGACTCTTGGGCCGAGTTACGTAATAATGTGCGCAGGGCGAAAGTCCGCTTGTCCCTCCCTCGCTTCGAGATCCGCGAGGAGATCGACCTCACCGAGGTCCTGACACAGAAGGACTCCCCCGTCGATATTCGCCCTGCTTTCGCCAGCGCTGCGGAGTTCCCTGGATTCAACGGCACGTCTACGAAGGTGTCCAGCGTGGATCACATGACCCTTTTGAAGGTTGACGAGCTGGGGTCCGAGGTTGCGGCGGCGACGGTTGTTAGGACGACATTTGGTGCGGCACAGGAGAAGGTTCATGAGATGTTTGTGGATAGGCCGTTTTTGTTCCTGGTTTTTGAGAGGGGTTCAGGGCTGGTGGTTTGCTCTAGTCTTGTAGAGAGTGTGCAAAGGCCAGATATCTAGAGCGATTCTGTCTTAATTGGTTGGCTTCATGTAATATCACTCGAGGACTGAAAAAAAAATGGAGATGGAGATGCTGAGTGTGAGGATCTTAGCCCAATTTAGTACGATACCTAGGTTAAATTGGGGGGATTGGGTAATTCCCGGAACCCAGGGGTGGAAGGATGCCGGCTGTCCTATCGATATCCGTATCCCACCCATTTCATTTAAACCACAACCACTACCAGCAAATGACAGAAGCGACGACCAGAGGATATGTTACCAGACCAGCAAAAGATCACACCAATTGCACAATAATCAGAAGAAAAAAAGAAGAAAAGCCAACCGCAATATACACAATCCACTCGAAACCCAAAGCGCGAACCGGTTCCAGGTTTGTACCAAACTCAATATTATAATACACCCACTTCACATCCCCCCCCCCTTCAAAAGAAAGAACACTCCCCACCCTCAATCTATTTCTTTGGAATATAATTCTTCTGCTCAAAGAGGTACCCTTTAATCTTTGAATCCTTGAGTAATTCCATATACCTCTCTATCCACCCCACCCACCACCTATCAGCCTCGCGGGGAAAAGAAAAAAAAAAGAACCTCCAAACCGAAACTCACCTCTCAGAACCCCACACCTGGCAAGATGATTGACCCCCTCCCTCCGGTAGCATTTGCTCAACTCCTCGCGCACGAGTCTCGCCATCATCGTGCGGACCCATTGCTCGCGGATGATGGCGTCCTGGGCCGCCTTTAGCGCGGCGTTGTCCTCGTAGTCGACGCCGTCGAAGGTCGGTGGGACGGTGGGCTTTTTGGCGAGGAATGCTGCGGACTCGGGGGTTGGCATTTTCTTTCTTTCTTGTTTGTAGTTTTTTTGTTTGTTTGTCCGCTGGTAGAGGTGCCGTAACTTATGTATGAGTCTTGGATTCTTGCTCGGTTGGGTGGGCGGGTAGGAGGGGTGGACGGTTTGTGATCCTGGATGTAAATTTATCGATTGACTGGGACTGGGTGGGGATATTGCAGATTCTTAGTCAGGGGTTAGTAAGCGAGATAAGGATTTGGCGATAATGAAAGTCCACTGTACGAGTAGATTAGATGTGGGGTCGAGGGTGACTGCTTCATCAACATAAATTTATTCCTGGCGACTGACAGCAATTTGATACCCAACCTTCCAGTCACTATTCCCCGGAGAAGTAAATAATGGCATTCCCTTACGCTCTCCCCACAACCTCTACAATCTCCTACCCAACCTACTTCGAATCCCCCCTCTACCCAACCCTCCCACTAGCCGCCTCCTCCCACCGCGGTTCCCTCCGCAACGCCCTCAAGGCGCACAAACGCCTACCCACGGCTTCGCAAGCCTCCGGAATCCCCTCAATAATCAAGCAGTTGGAGAGCTACCTCGCGCACTTGTTGACCCTCTACGACACCCTCACTGCCGGCGACGCTTTTTTCAAGGAGGGCGCTCCGAGGCTAACTACCAGCTGGCGCACGGTCCTGAGCACAAGGAGGGTAGCGGCGAAGGAACCACCGAGGGTAGTGAGACCGGGACTCAGCTATGAGATATTCTGGAGCATAAGTGCTCTAGGGTACGCCTACACTTTGCTCGCCCGGTCACAATTGCAAGCGATTCTAGCTCCCCCTTCGTCCAGCGCTACGAGCGGAGGTACCATAGATGCAACAGTAGCAGCAAACTCCTTGAACCAGGCAACGGCAAACCTCTTCACCTCCGCCTCCATTTTCCAACACCTCCTTACCAGGCCCCTCCCCCCACACGCAAGTTCCTGGCCACCAGACCTATCACCTCAGGTTCTTTCGGCACTCAGCAGCATCTCAATATCCGCGGCGACCCTCAGTGCGGTAACGAAACAGGACCCATACCCAACGTACCTGAGCATCATTGCGATCGAGAAGAAGAAACAGCAGAAGAGCAAAGAATGGCTGTACAACCCCCCCGCCCCCCCCGCCGGCGTGCGTGCCCTGCTGATAGCGAGACTGTGCATTGCTGCATCAGATCATGCGGCTAAGGCATTGGGACTACTATCCACGGCGGAGAAAACGGATGCGGGGGAGATTGGAGAGGAGCTGCTGAGGTACGCGGACTCACTCCAGAGGGTTTCTAGGGCGAAGGCTTGTCGCTTCCTGGGCATAGATGCCGAGGCCGCCGGAAGGGTTGGGGAGGGTATTTCTTGGATTAGGGGTGCTAAGACCATTCTCAACACTTCGAATTCGACAAGTTCTGTTGGGTCGTTCGTGGGGGATCGGTTGCGAAGAAAAGATGATGTCTGGGGAGCTGACGCTGGGAAGGTGGATGAAGAGAAGACACTGGATGCGCTAGAGGGACGGTGGAAGAAGTTGAATGATAGCGTGATGTTCCAGAAATGCCCGGATTTGGAGGAGCTGATGGGTAGAATACCGACTGGGAGGGAGCTTCATCAGGGCATCAAGAGCTGGGAGCCGCCAAAGCTGGGGGTGGATGAGTTGAGGGCTTTAAGGGCGGCTGGAGACTTGGGCGCGGAGGTAGTAGTTGAGGAGGAGGATAGTGAGGAGGGGGTGGGGATGGATGATGGGGGGGATTATGTAGGGGAATATTATTAGGGGTGAGATGCCAAGTGCGCTATATTGCGATTCCGCAGATGATACCAGTAATGATATTATGAAAAGCACAGTACTTCATTTTCACTAAGGCATACTGCTACAGCCAGACTAAATTGCAACACCAAACAATCGACCTATCATACAGTACATGCAAGCTCATGAAAGCACCACCATAGCAACTCGAAGCATTTAGAAGTAACACGATCAAACATCGGGTATCATACAATCACTCAAACACCTTGCGGTAACATGGAAAGAAAGCGAAGAAAGCAAACATTCTCATCACAAGACAAACGCTCAATCAAGCGTTCAACCTCCCCCCAAACCTCGACACCTTCCCGACCGTAGTTCTCGCCCCGCGCCTCTTCTTTTCAACCGGTGACTTGATCCTCTCCTCCTCACCTTCCTCTTCATCCTCTCCTGCACCTGCTTCAACCTCAGACTCAGGAACCTCTAACACCTCTGGACTGTGAGAAGCATGCTTACTCCTCTTCTTCCCAGGCCCCGCTGTTGCCACCGCAGCGGTTGTAACCGTGCCCGATCCCTTAACACCCGGAAGATCCCTCTTCCGGTGCTCCCCAGAAAGATCCACAATAATCCTCGGCCCCCCCTCCTCACTACCCCCTGCGCCGCCGGCAGACTTCCTCTTCCGCGAATTTGTAACACCCGACACGCCCAATTCCGGACTAACATCCCTATTTTCAACGGCAGTTCCCTGATCCTTCTGCTGCGGAGCCGGTTCCTTACCCGCTGCCGCCTCAACATGAGCCTCAACAACGCCAACCCTCTGCGCCAGCCCGTCGAGCAGAGTAAGTTTGCCCTCCAGTTTGTCCAACAACTCGATCTTATCCCGCACTCCCTCGCGAGCTTCTTCAATCTCACCGGAGTTGTCGAGGTCAACGTCCACCCTTGCAGCCGTAGCAACCTTTTTGAGACCTCGGACTATATCGCTCTGCTTCTCATGGAGCATCACACACATTGTCATTACCTTGTCGATGTTTTCCGCGGTGGATTCCGGGGACGGGTGGAGGTGAGCGTAGACTTCTTGAGTTTGAGCGGGAGGCAGAGAAGGGACGCGCGAGGAGTGGTGGTAGAATGAGAGTGTTGTTAGGGGAAGAGTGTATTTGTTTCTGAGAGTTTGTTAGTTGCCATGTAGCAAGTAAATCGCAGGAACTAGAGGGAGGAAGACTGACTGTAGAGTGGATAGCTTCGCAGTGGTCGCCATGTACATCTTTCCCAGAATGGCTCCGCATTTTCCGCAGGTGATGTTTTTGTAATTGCTAGGTAAGAAATTAGCACAAACTCACTCGCCCAGCCAAACAGAGACAGAGAGAGAGAGAGAGAGAGAGAGAGAGAACACACCAAAACTCATCCCACTCCCCCTCAAGACTCGTCTTCAACCCTCCTTCCCCGACAGCCACCGAGACCATGGAAGCAAGAGTAATAGTCCCCATCTGTCTCGTAGCGTACAAAAATGCAGAATTATCCCCAACAATGCGCTCACAATTCGCACAAGAGACTGTGACAGGTGGGCATTCTACTTGGTCGATCATACCGCCATTGCTTCCGCCGTTGCTTCCGCCATCTTCGTTTGGGAGGGAGAAGTAAGGTGACAATTCTCGGGAGGGATTGTTGTTGGTATCGTCCCCAGCTTGAGGGTTTGATGATGGCATTGTGGTACAGTGTTGCCTTTTTTTTTATTCTTTTTTCTTTTATATCTGTCTGATCGGCTGGCGGTGGGGAGAGGATGATGGTGGGGAGAGGATGATGGTGGGGAGAGGAAGGCAATGGGGGGAGGGAGGTGGTGGGGGGGTGGCAAGCTGATTGGGTTGCAGTGAAGGACCCGGAGCCTGGGAAGACGCGACGAGTGCCCATGAAATCTTGGCACGCCCGTTTGCGGCTCTTTTCGTGTCACTCTGATTGTGATGATTGCCGGTAGGCAGTGTTGCTCGCGACGGGGTGTCACTCCGGGGTCAGTTGGTGACGGGTGTCACTTTGGACTTTACTGACACCCCGTCAGACAGGTAAGTTACTATACTTGTATCATGACGGGGTGTCATGCTTAGTAATATACAATAAATGCACCAATTGCTACACCCAACCGGGGAGAGTGATTCTCTCTCTGTATTTGAGTACTCAGAGAGTAGGACATTATCCAGTGTTCCATAGAAGCTCTTCCCCTCAGAAAGAGCTGCGGAATCGCTTTCCTTCCTGGTGTCATAGTACCGAATATATAAACTATTGACTCCCTTGAATGGGAGTTCAACATACATAATTAAGCCCTTACCCAGCTATCGACACCCCGTCACCCTCTTCACTGACACCCTATCATGACCCCCCGTCACTGACATGACAGTATCAGTTACCCGTCACCCGTCCCGAGCAACACTGCCGGTAGGATAAGTTTGAGGAGGACCTGTGCTACCCATGGAACATCATCGACCACATCGCCATGGCGATATCCAGCCCCGACTCAACCATAGAGTGCAAGTCATCGCAGGAAAGACAAGTACGGTAGTGCTACACCAGTTGGTCGCTTGTATTGTCACTCGGGTAAGATATGCTATGTCAGATATAAGCCCTTCTACAACAACACTTGTATCCTACGCCACAGAGAAGAGATTTCGTCTAAATGCGGTGGGGAACTGCCTTAAAAGAGTACAAGAATGAGGGTGAAAATACAGACAAAAAAGAAAAAGAAAAAAAGCTGACAAAATGAAGGAACAAAAAGGGAAGTGAAACCGAAAACTAAAAAAGGCGAGAAAGAAAAATTTTAAACATGAAGACAAGGATAATCACCCAACCGCTTACAAAAGGTAAAAAGCGAAGAGCAATGAAGAGCCCGAATAGAACACATGACCCGATAAATTTACATTTTGTTTGAATTTCCCCTCATTTTAACCAAACTTTTCAATCGTCTCTCCCTCACTCTCAAATCCCATAGCCCACTTTACCGCGTTGGTTGATTAATCATGAAAAAATCGTCATCTCGTTCCCTCTATGGACCCCCTCGCGAATTTTCACGCCTTTTACTCTTGATTTAATAGGAGCCGTCAGGCTTAGACACATCTCCCTCCGAGGTGTCCGAATTTTCCACGAGGGTCTCCTGCGTAGGAACTGAAGAAGACCCCATGAAATCCTCAGGACCGCCACTCCTACGGCCATTGCCCCTCTGGTCTGAGAAGTCGATGCGGAGGCGGCGACCAAACACCTCAACACCAGCCAACTTATCCTTGGCCTTGATCGCGGAATCAATGTCGACAAAGTCAGCATGAGCGAAGCCACGGGGTTGTCCGGTAGCACTAGCTAACTTGTAAGCACTGCGAAGAAAGTATGAACAAGAAAAGAGGCCCGAGAACATACCGATCCATGGCAATTCGGACATCAGCACAACCATCAATCCCAGTGAAAAGTTTGTCAAAGTCGGCATCAGTCATATCGAAGCTCAAGTTCCCAATGAACAACGTCTTGGACGGCTCTCCAGAACCGGTAGCACCGGTGTTAGGGCGATGAACATATTGGACGTTCATTCTGCGTCCCCTAAAGACGGCGTTGTGAGAAGCTTCAATGGCAGCCGTAGCTTGTTCAACGGTCCCGAATTCAACGTATCCAAAACTAAGTGAAAAACGTTGTCAGTGTCTTTGTATTAATGGATCAATTAATGGCAACGAATTTGCTATCTCCGCAAAATTTAGGGGCTCAAGAAGAAAACAAACCCTTTGCTCAGGCCCCTAGCATCGATGATAATCCTAGTACTCAGAACCGGGCCAAAAGCCTTGAATTCCTCATGGAGATCATCTTCCTTGACATCGAATTGAAGATTTCCAATATAGATGACTTTAGTGGGGGCCAACCTCCGGTCCCCAAAACCCATTCGGCCAGCGTTATTAAAACCGCGATTATTGTTCCTAGGAGCGAATCCTTGATTACCACCATACCCTCCTCCTTGATTACCGTAACCCCCCTGATTGCCGTATTCTCCCCCTTGCCCCCCCCCTTCATATCCAGAGCCATAGTTGGAATTATAGCGCTGGAGAAGAGACTCGAACGAGCGGAGTTCGGACAGGTTGGACGGGCGTGACTTGGAGTTAGAAAACGTGCTCGGGGAGAATGCGGTAGCCAATGGACGAGCAATGGCAGACTGGCGCGAAGAGCGGAAAGCAGCACGGCTGATAGAAAACCTATCAACAAATTTTCATCAATACCCGCTCATAATGATGGGGAAGTGGGGTGACCATGGTGGGGCAGCAAACATTTTCAATTGCAGGTGATTCAAACAAGAATGATGAAGATATCGAGGGGAAATGAGAAGAGAGAACAGGACACTTGAGGGGCAGAGGGGGGGGGGAGGAGTGGAGGGTTTGGTGGAAGAGTTGCTGGTTTTGAGGTTGCGGTGGAAGGGAGGGAAGAAGTCTCGAAGCAATTTTTTTTTTCCTCCGCAGAGGCGAAACTTTTTCGGCCCACCAAACTGCTCTAGGGGTTATCAGACTGTATAAAAGAGTAGCACTAATACATAATGCACAGAAAATTATTCCCTTCAGTCCCCTATTGTGTCCAACCTTTCAGATGTCCTTCAGGGTCTCATTGAGTCGATTTCGAGGTTTTCTTTTCATCCTTTGGCTCCTGATCCCTCATCGCTCTGCAGTCACGTGACCATTTCACGTAATGATAGCAGCGATGACTCCCGAACTCTAACGACCCCCATAGAACTTGCAATCGGCCCAGCAAGCACAAGAACCCCCCTCACTGATCCCTTTTTTGACCCTTCTCCCCCCTCTCCCTTAGCTAGCCCTATCTACTCCCTGAGCGCACTCCGACCCGTCAGCATCCCCACAAGACATAAAGGTTTTTTCTTCATTATCTTCCGGTAAAGTTATGATATCGTACTCTACCATAGCAAGCCAACCACACGCCCCATTACTCGCAATCCCCTGTACAGTACTATTTCTCTCGGGGGGTGAAGAGGAGAAAAATCCGACTCTTTCCCTGTTGAAGCCGCCACTTGTTTTCAAACCATCGTTTAATTGCCCCCCAGCAGAGTAGCGATCCATATCTTGCAGAGGGTTATTCAGCCCCATAAATTTACAACCATCTCCAACCCATTTGCTGTAGAATCGTTATCACAGAGCAGATGACATCTCATCGGTATCTTCCTATCATAAGAGTGAGTATGATATCTGATCAAAACAGGTAAACATACAATATCACTCGTTTATATGATTATATCCTTTGAAGTAGAAAAGAGAGTTTAGCTGGAGTAGAGAGGAGAATTCAGTTAGGTACTTTTGTGGGGGTATATGATCGTTTGAGTGAGCAAGAATTGTTAACCGTTTTCTTGACTTGATTGACTACCGTACCTTCCTATACTATAGAAAACCCAACCAACCAGATATCCATCTGGTAGCTACATTCCTTCCAATCCATACCATTCCTTGTATCTCCTCACGTACGTCTAGACTGCTTCTTGCATAAGGTTATCAGGAAGTCCCTAACAACCCCAGCGATATCACATCATTTTCACTCCCGTTATTATCATACCATGAATAGTTCCCTCAGACAACCCTTCCCCCAAC